CCCCCCCCACGTTTTTTGCATGTTTCTTAATAGCGGTCATTTGCATGAATCTAAGGATTTACGGGACTAATAATTTTTTGCACATCCCTAGTAGGTACACATCTTCCTGTGTTAACCTATAACCCGATCACTAGTGCTTGGTGATCTTCTCTAATGCTTCTCTAATAGTAAAGAGTAAAGTAATAGTAAAGTAATAGTAAAGTAAAAGTAAAGTAATAGTAAAGATGCTTCCCTAATAGTAAAGAGTAGAGACATCAGAATGGCAACAAAGATCCGCCTAGTCAAAGCCATGGTATTCCCTGTAGTAACCTACGGATGTGAGAGCTGGACCTTAGGGAAGGCTGAGCGAAGGAAGATCGATGCTTTTGAGCTGTGGTGTTGGAGGAAAGTTCTGAGAGTGCCTTGGACTGCGAGAAGATCCAACCAGTCCATCCTCCAGGAAATAAAGCCCGACTGCTCACTGGAGGGAAAGATACTAGAGACAAAGTTGAAGTACTTTGGCCACATCATGAGGAGACAGGAAAGCCTGGAGAAGACAATGATGCTGGAGAAAGTGGAAGGCAAAAGGAAGAGGGGCCGACCAAGGGCAAGATGGATGGATGGCATCCTTGAAGTGACTGGACTGACCTTGAGGGAGCTGGGGGTGGTAACGGCCGACAGGGAGCTCTGGCGTGGGCTGGTCCATGAGGTCACGAAGAGTCGGAGACGACTGAACGAATGAACAACAACAGTGCTTGGTGACAATTCTGGGTTCTAGGCTGGAGTTCTCCTGGATGTTGAATGTCACCCCTAAAATGGGATGGATGTTTTTGGGAGCTTCACATTCGGATTAAAACCTATAATGTGTTAGCACTGGATCCCCCATTTGCCGTGCTCCCCCAATTTTCTGGATGTGTCCATATGAAATCTCCTGACTCTTTTTCAGAGCTTGAATTCTGGATCCTCAGCGCGGTGGTTTCGGCCTCCATCGCCATCGGCTTCGTCTTGACTGCTGTTGCCAAAGCCATGAAGAAATGAGCACGTTGTCAATGGCAGAGTTGGAAATAAACCTGATTGCAAACTGAACTTGGTCAAGGGATATGCTTTACTCCTCTATGGAAGGGTCAGTGCTTGGGTTGACCGTAGAGAGACATAATATCATGGTGGAAACTATAAACCCCATACTAGGCTTGGTTGATTAAAAAAACTATTTCGGATATAGGGGGAGCTGGTGATTCAATTCGAAATAGAATTCCGAATTTCAGAAAGTTCCGCATTTTTTACCCCCAAAATTCGGAACTTTCCGAAATTTCCAAATTTGGAACTTTCAGAAATTTCCAAAATTTCCAAAACGCTTCATTAATGGTGGACGCAATTGTGCAATGTATGGGATTTCTAGTGTCTTCTTCACTTCACTTAGGCGATCCCTCGTTGGCCGTGACCCTTCCTAATGCCGCAACCCCTTCATACAGTTCCTCATGTTGTGGTGACCCCCAACCATAACCCTAACATTATGAATCGCCATGTAAATATCTAATCTGCAGGATGTACTTTCATTCACTGGAGCAAATTTGGCACAAATACCCGGTATGCCCAAATTTGAATACTGGTGGGGTTGGTGGGGGGATTGATTTTGTCATTTGGGAGTTGTAGTTGCTGGGATTTATAGTTCATCTACAATCAAAGAGCATTCTGAACCCCACCAAAAATGGGATTGAACCAAACTTGGCACAGAGAACTCCCATGACTAACAGAAAATACTGGAAGGGTTTGGTGGGCATTGACCTTGAGTTTGGGAGTTGTAGTTCGCCTACATCCAGAGAGCACTGTGGGCTTAAACAATGATGGATTTGGACCACAGTTGGCATGGATACTCAATATGCCCAAATGTGAAAACTGATGGGGTTTGGGGAAAACAGACTTTGACATTTGGGAGTTGTACTTGCTGGGATTGATAGTTCACCTACGATCAAGGAGCGTTCTGAACTCCACCAATGATAGAATTGGGCCAAAGTTCCTACACAGAACCTCCATGACCAACAGAAAATACTGTGTTTTCTGATGGACTTTGGCGACCCCTCTGACACACCATCGCGACCCCCCCCCCAGGGGTCCCAACCCCCAGGTTGAGAAACATTGTCTTCCAGGATTCTTGTGGGCCCATAGGTGACTTTGGAGCCCTCTTCTTGACCTGCATCATCTCCCGCAGTGAGGGCATTGGTTTCCAGGTGGAAGGCGGTCCCGGTCGGGGTTGGCTTGATGCACCTTCCTCTTGGCACGTTTCCCTCTTTCACCCTCCATTCGTGCCTCTTCAAATTCTGCAGCACTGCTGGTCACAGCTGACCTCCAGCTGGAGTGCTCAAGGGCCAGGGCTTCCCAGTTCTCAATGTCTATTCCAGAGTTTTGAGCCCATCTTTAAATCTCTTTTCCTGTCCACCAACATTACGTTTTCCATTCTTGAATTCTTCTTGGTGGTCTTCTTAAGCAACTCACAGCAAACAAATGAAAAAAGAAACAGTCCTGCCCTTTTTTTTGCCTTGGACGATGATTTGACTACTTTGGGAAGGAGAGTTTGTGTTCAAAGAGTGGCTTGAATTGATGGGAGATCTAGTTCTTTTGACGCAATATGCAACACAAACTAAAAAACACTGAGTCCAAAGAGATCAGCTACAATGTTGGCTTTTAAAAATGTTGGAGTGAGTGCTATGGTTCCTCCGTGTTGCTCCCACGCGTGCCACTCACCCCCACACACATTACCCTCACGGTGCCCTCCTAACCCAAACCCCAACAGCAATAACACACAAGTGGCAAGGCAGGCTGTGCCCACTGCCTAAGCAGGCAGGCAACCAAGCATGGCCGGCAATACCCTAATCCTAACCCAAACTCAAGGTCAATGCCCAACAACCCCTTCGGGTCTTTTCTGCTGGTCATGGGAGTTCTGTGTGCCAAGTTTGGTTCAATCCATTGTTGGTGGAGTTCAGAATACTCTTTAATGCTCTTTGAATGTAGGTGAACTATAAATCCTAGAAACTACAACTCCCAAAGGTCAAAGTTTATTTCCCTCAAACTCCACCAGTGTACACATTTGGGCATATTGAGTATTCGTACTCAGTTTGGTCCAGATCCATTGTTTGAGTCCACAATACTCTCTGGATGTAGGTGAACTACAACTCCCAAATTCAAGGTCAATGCCCAGTGCCCACCAAACCCTTCTGGTCTTTTCTATTGGTCATGGGAGTTCTGTGTGCCAAGTTTGGTTCAATTTCATCGTTGGTGGAGTTGCTGAGATTTATAGTTCACCTTCAATCAAAGAGCATTCTGAACCCCACCGACGATAGAATTGGGCCAAACTTCCCACACAGAACCCACATGCCTTGACAGGATTTGCTGGCGAGCCTCCCTCCATCACTGGTGAAGTTCAGAATTCTCTTTGACTGTAGGTGAACTATAAATCCCACCAATGACAAATCCCAAATGTCAAGTTCTGTATTCCTCAAACTCCACCAGTGTTCACATTTGGGCATATTGAGTATTTGTGCCAAGTTTGGTGCAGATCCATCATTGTTTGAGTCCACAGTGATCTCTGGATGTAGGTGAACTACAACTCCCAAACTCAATGCCCACCAAAAACCCCTCCAGTCTTTTCTGTTGGTCATGGGAGTTCTGTGTGCCAAGATTGGCCCAATTCTATCGTTGCTGGAGTTCAGAATGCTCTTTGATTGTAGGTGAACTATAAATCCCAGCAACTACAACTCCCAAAGGTCAAAGTCTATTTTCCCCAAACTCCACCAGTGTTCACATTTGGGCATATTGAGTATCCATGTAAGTTTGTTCCAGATCCATCATTTTTTGAGTCCACAATACTCTCTGAATGTAGGTGAACTATACATCCCAGCAACTACAACTCCCAAATGACAAAATCATTCTCCCCTCCAATTCTACCAGTATTCAAATTTGGACGTATTGGGTATTTGTGCCAAATTTGGTTCAGTGAATGAAAATACATCCTGCATATCAAATATTTACATGACAATTCATAACAGTCGGAAAATTACATATATGAAGTAGCAACAGAAATAATGTTATGGTTGAGGGTCACCACAACATGAGGAACTGTATTAAGGGGTCGTGGCATTAGGAAGGTTGAGAACCACTGATATATAGGAATGGGAAACACTATGATACAGGATTCTTGTTGCAGTTGCAAAACTAACGTATAGAACAGTGATGGGCAACCTTTTGAGTTTGGTGTGTCAAAATTCGCCAAAAAACTGAGCATAATTCAGGTGGTGTGTCACTTCAAGAAAAAAACCATAATTTCGCAATATTTAGTTGAAATAACAAAAAATATATAATTGTAATTCCCACTTTCTCTCTTATCATGTTGTTCTACCTCTCTTTATGTAAATAATATCCTTTTTGGGGTGTTTAATAAAATATAAATTTAAAAACCCAACAAAATATTATTTATTTTTAATTTAATTTAAATGTATTTCTAGCATTTAATATGCTTTTTAATGTATTTCTAATAATAATAATAATAATAATAATAATAATAATAATGCAATAACAACAAAGTAACATTGCCAAATAATATTTTGATATTTAATTTACAATTTCATTTAAGGTATATATATATATATATA